ATTTGCTCTGGAATTATTACAGAGGTTGTGTGAGAAAAACACAGACGTGGCAGATTCGGACGGGATTAAAATCGCAAAGTACGTCTGTGAAACACAAATTTCTCTAGCGACCCCCTGTAAAACTAGTCCCGTCCGAATAGGGCTAAATATGGAATCCTGAGACTCAGACATTCCCAATCATATGTGTTTGATATGTGTTTTGTCAAGATAAGACAAACTTTTCATTATAGAATATTGTAGTAGCCTAAGTTTTGTAATATTTATTTATTTTTATTTATTTAAAAACAAAAAATAAAGCTAAAAACAATTCAAAATATTAAAGAACATAAGGTATAAGACTAAGCCAAACATCAAAAAACAACTACATATGTGTATGTACAACCACATACACATATATACAGTGGTGTGAAAAAGTGTTGGCCCCCTTCCTGATTTCTTATTTTTTTTTAAATAAAACTAAAAACTTAATAAAAGACCTATACAGACATAATAAATTCAGACATAATTTAACTAAAATTAAAATAAATAACAAATACAAATAATACAAATCAAATGACAGTAGTTTATCAATAATCCTAAAAAATAACACTGCCAAACACATGCTATAAAACAACAACTTATTTTGGATTGAAGCGATGTGGCTTGGTAAACCTTGTAATGCCAGAATAAAGGCTACTAATGGCTGAATAAAACAAAATAATAATGATAAAGGAATAATGAGGATAATGTCTCATACCTGGCGGAGGTGTGAAAGGTTCGTCGCGTGACAACAGTAGAATCATGAATATGGCAGTTTGCCGAGCCAGACATGAGGAGACAGCATGCAGGAGAGATTACAGAGGGCCATAAATCAATTGTATTAACCTTCTCTAAAAACACACATGATGATGATTCAATGATTCATAAAATTCACAGTTTTAGAGATTATGTCCTGAAATTTGAAATGAAGCATTAGTAGACTTGTGGCTTTAGCTTAATTGTGTTTCTAAAACCACTTACCACAGCAACATATATTTTTTATACATTTAAAAAATATTTTTAAAATATTTTTATTTTTATGTTTGAGCTTATATATCTCTATTATCATAACAGTCTGAGTAATTCTGATTCTTGAACAGTAAACTTTGAAGTGTTAGCTTTGTGAACATATGTTGATTATGTATCTAGTCAGAAAGACTCATGAGCAGCAACCTTTTTATTTTGGGTATGTCATTTGTGTCTCCATGCCGAAAATGTGGGGTGACAGCAAAAGGCTTAAACCCTCCATAATGCTGGACTCATAGACCATCATTACTGTAAACAGGGATGAGTTCAAATTAACATTATGCCACAAATGCTGCTGATAAAGCTTAACATGCATTGAACACGTGACATTCATGCCCTTAAACTAACCTTCATTGTGAGGCAGTAAAGACGGCGTATTGACCAGGGTAAATGGAGGAGATCTTTATTGGGTTACCTTAATGTCGTTGTGTGCCATGAGGAACAATAGAGGAGACACGGTGATAGTAAGACCTAGAGAAAGTATTTTCTCTAGTGTTAGAGTGACGGACATTGTTTCATTTGTGTTTCATTGCGTTATATAGCACAAGTCATCCTCAGGTCACCAGAGTCACAGGACTTTACTGTACAAGTGACTCAGCAATTATTCACAGCAGGCTCTTCCATTCACTGAGTTGACAGCAGGAATATTAGACTGCTGTCACTTTAAGAGCTGCCCGGATCCAATATGCTGTTACACACACACTTTGACATGTACAGGTGTGTGTATTTAACCGTTTAAAGCCTATAAAGCAGCAGAAATAGCTCCGTTCAATACTCCCGCGCTCTGGGCACCGTCTCTCAGACAGCGCGCGCATATAGCGAAATGAGTTCTCGTTCGCTGCGGATTGCATTTCAAGTTTTTGTGACGCCGTAGCAGAACAACGTCACGTCAGCGTGTAACTGTGATAGAGACTAGGGCTGCACGATTAATCGAATGCGATTGTCATCGCATTTTGTTAAAAAACAAGTCATCCTCAGGTCACCAGAGTCACAGGACTTTACTGTACAAGTGACTCAGCAATTATTCACAGCAGGCTCTTCCATTCACTGAGTTCTGGACACAACTTCAGTTCAGTCAGTTTATCTTGAAAGTCCTAACATTGTGTTTCTTGTCAGGGAAATGTACTCTGTAATTTAGTTTGTGTTAGGGATGGGTGAGAGACTCTAGTTGTTTAGTGTCTTATAGTTAATGAATTGGGGTGGAAATGAAAATTCACCTAGTTTGCAAATACATGTTTACAGATCTTTCAATGAAAGCAGTTGAATCTTCTGTTTATTCAGGTGCAGCGATAGGCATTTTCTGGGTTTCTTCTGCGAGGCGTATTTGGGGTTTCAGCGCGAGAGCACCCTCTGACCTTTGGATGGAGATTTACTGCTGATCACAGAACCGTGCTTCACTGAAAGATACGCATGACAATCACAGCTTCTGTCGAATCGCGATCTCGATTCCATTTAGATTTATCGTGCAGCCCTAATAGAGACAATAGTCGAAAATCTCTACCGATCGACAAATTTCTACCAGTTAATCGTGTCTACCGGTATATCGCCCACCCCTAACTCTTGTTTAGTGAACGAGACCGTTATTTTACTGCTAAGGATTCAACGTTACCTGCTGTGCTGTATGCTGCATGTATTACTCATAATGGCTTTATTTTTTAGTTATGTCGTTACAGTGGTTGGTGAGCTGAATGGTTTGAAAAGTCATTAAAAATTAATAAAACCAACAGTTTTTTTTGTTGTTCTCATTCTGAAAAAAATAAAATAAATCACAGACCAGTCATATGTAAGCTTGTGTAAGCACTCTGTTTCTTCTTTCATAATAAGCAAGTTTAAAGTCAAATAATATTTATTGGATACGGGAAGTCATTTTCAACAAGGCTTTTCCATTCTTATGTAGCTTAAAACCAATCATATTGTTTCATGAGGTTCAAAATGAGGGCTTTTATGATGGCCAAAACAGATCAGGTTTCATAGCGTAGACGCAGTCTCAGGTAAATGAAGCTCCACTGCTGGGGTCCCAGCGCTCCACTGGTAATGGATTCTGTTGTAAGTGCTCTCTGTGGTTCAGACTGAAGGTCTCAGCTCATTTTCCACTTTATTCAGTAGCTTCTGTATATTGATCGCCAGATTTCTACTGCGGTCTAGCTGAAGTTAACTAGCTCCAGTGCTTTTGTCACATTGATGTAATTGTTTGACTGAGCTCAAAAAGTGCTGGAGCAACAACAGAACTAGGGAAGCAAAGGCCTTAAGGGAGTCTTGTACTGTGACACATTTCATTCACATAGGACTAATTGTGTGTGAGTGTGAGAGTGTGAGTGTGTGAGTGTGTGTGTGTGTGTGTGTGTGTG